TTAAGTAAACTTAGACCTACATGATATGAAACCTCTTTTGAGCTAGCAACTGACAAAAAAGGAAGGAAACCTCCAAGGAAATCAGTGTACGTCAGCAAAAACGAAAGCCTAGGACTGTTACATGTCTGCAGGCAATACTTTGAAGGTTGAGTAAATATAAGGAACTTTTTGATAACAGTTGGAAAACAGCACTCAAATTGTTTCAGAAAGATGAGAAAGAACTGTATGGGTGCCCAGTATACTGACACAGCAGGATCAGTCATTATTTTAAGGCATTATTAAAAAAAAAATTATGGAACGGAAAACTGGTATTAAATATGCAGAACCACCAGTCATTTATTTACTAATATGGATTTTGGTCTAGAAACTAACTTAAGTGCTTAGTTACGTCAGTCCTTATGTAGGAGAGCACTCAGGCATGTGCTTACTGTTGACTATGTGCTTTAGCCCAACCGACCATGTAGGAGCTTGAAAATTTGCCTAGATTTAAGTGCATATTTTGGTAACTTGATGAACTGAGACCATCTGATCCTGCAGTCCTTCCAGAAGAAGATGGGCCAAATACTGATAATATCTGTAGAAGTGGTAGTATCTCCTTGTAATACTTTATCTCATCTTTGTCTGTGATAGCATCTTTTGTGTACTGCCGCACTTAAGAGGAGAGTAGCAATTTAGAATCTTTGGTTTAAAACTAATTTAGGCATCAGATACTTCCCAAAAGTAGAGTCCAGAATCATGATTACTGAAAAAGAATAGTTTTTCCTATTTTCTTTCTACTTATTTGCTCTATCTGTTGTACAGCACTTCAGATAATAACACTTTCTATTTCATATGAATTTAAAGTATATTTTGTTGCTTAGGTTTTTCAAAAACGTTGAGAAAACTTATTTTGAAGCAAAAAAACCCCAATATTTGACTTCACAATACTAATGTTATCTTTTTATGAGGGATGAGCATTTAGTACAATGTGATACATGAATATTTAAGTCTATAAATAAATGTCAAGTTTCATTGCTGAACACATCACTGATGTGTAAATGATTCCATTCCAAACTTGTTACATGCACCATTCAAGTTTTTTAAAGAGCTATAAAGTATTATATCCTCATTCATAAAGTTATTATTCTGTCAGAAAGAAAAATAACTCATAGATGTCTTTGGTGTGGCTGCAGTAAAAATAATTTTGAAGTACACTGAGATTTCACCTGAAAGATTCGAGGATTCAGGGTTTATGTTAACTATTAATGCATAGGATAGTGCAGATAGTAGCTAGATGAGAATAAAACTCGGAATTGACAACTACCAAAAAAAATTGTACAAGTTCCTACTTGATTTATTGGGAAGACATCATACACAAAGAAATGAGCGATGTTATTAAAAGTTAGAGTGCACTGCTCTAGTTCTTCTACTTTATGTACCACCAAAGAAAAAGCAAACATATT